AGAACATTTTAATGCTAACACCGGAACGCGTTACAGGGATACGAGTCGCGACTCGAAAATACGGCTGAAACAAATTAGCCTGACCGAATAACCTCTGTTTCAACTGGTTGAATTATTTTCCATTTTTTATGGATTCAGAGAAATCCACGGAAACGAGAATATGTTCGAGTGAGTGATACGGAACAGGTTAAAAAATATCGTTAACGTAGCGTTAATGTTGCATTACGAGTCGACTAATGAGAGTTGTGGACAGCCAACTGTGAACCGGTGTTCTCTAATGCCTTCTAAGTGTTATTAATGTGCTAAGGGGTGGCTTAATGATTATGAATGGTTAGGGTACTTAGAAAATAATTGAATTACTATTAAGGCGTATTTTTAAATAATTTCTGAAAAATTTCGACCACGTGTTTGATGAAAAATAAATATTTATAGACGGACTGTAACTTATCATTGATAAATACCTTCTAACATTGAAAATTTGAAACGGATTATTATAAATTTTCAAGCTTTCATGGGAGAAAATTGAATCCTTCTAACTCGACGCTTCGTTAATTATTTAGCTGCATGCAATGCTAATTATTTCATTAGCAGGAATTCATTAAATGACTAGCGCAGCTAAATGCAAGAGCTCTGTACCGGTAAGAAGAAGTTTATGGTTAGCAGAAAGAGGAGGGAATCGGATGAAAGGAGCTTTCGTAAACTCGGATCATATGGAAGGTTGTGAAGAGAGCAGTCAACGTGATTCTACCTGCCCGCCCACGTTTCAGCAAATGGATATTACCAACAGGACTTATGTTCCGTTGGCTGTCGTAGTCGTTCGTTTATAAGAAGGTGGTACGACAGAAGGAAACGACGTTCGAGAAGGCAGAGAAGGTGGAACGAAAGGATGGGGGACAGAGGGTGGAAAAAAAAAGGATAAAAAAAGGGATCGTGAAACGGGATGAGCTTAATGGAGTAGAAACGAATTCAGAAAGCTTGCCTTCAGAAAAAGTGAAATACGAGAAACTGCAGATGCACAAAATTTTGTAATCCTAATCGTGCTGGCCCGACCGTGTACAAGATGTTTTTAAATCAAACTCTGATGGTCTTCTTTATGAATAAGATTTACGATCAAATCCACTATCATCGATTTCGCTAACTTCAAACTACGATTTACACTCGCTCCTCCATAAAACCATAAAAAAACTCCATTGAGACTTCAACCTTCTATCCTTCCTTTCGACAAGAAAGAAGAGAAGAAAACAGCACACGCCTGGTTACCGGAAGTCGAACAAGACTGCGCTAGAGTGCTCGTTTCAAACGATATTGTTATTAGTTTCCAGCATATTGGCAGTATTCGAAGTATCTGGGACCGCGAGCCATGGGAACAGATCCACAAAGGATGATTTCGTTCCATCGACGCGATAAAGGGCACGATGGTCGCATGGAAAGAGGCTGTTGCGAGGGAAAAGGGCTGATCAGTGACCATCTTGAATGGAGTCTGGGGAGCAACGAGTCGAGTAGCCGGGACGAGCATGAACGACGTTTACGCGGTAAAAAGGAGCTGGAATGCGAATTGGGAGAGAAAAGATGGGTTGTTTTGGCGAAGGTTATTTTCCGGCTGGACGAGCTCGTCTACTTCGCTATACATCGGGGAGAAATCTCCCTCTCTTGTTTAAGGAGACGATTTTCTTCCGGTTGCAAGCTTACCGCTTCGCTACTTTACTCTCCCCGGACATTTATTAGACAAACATCCTCTACTATCTCTCTTTGTTACTCTCCAGCGACGATTTTGCTTCCTTCTTTACTGTTTTACTTTTGAGACTGTATAATAGGACTAGTATTTATATTGCCTCTTAAATCCCGAGATATTTACTAAACTTAGCGTATCTCCAAGAAAAATTATGCAACATTTGAGAACAAGACGTATGGTCAATAAAGCAAATAATTCGCAAACTGATTTCGAAAACCGTTTAAAGCTACGATTTATCTTCAAGATTGAAGCACGTACAGCAAATCGAGCCAAATCATCGTTGAGAGAAAAACGATGACGAGAAGCAGGAAATTAGGGTCGTTAGGACGCGTGACCTAGTTTCAGTGAGAATCTCGTAACCCAGCTTTTTGCATTACCCTTCTTTAGATGAGGGCTGAGTAAATCATGCCCTTCGGCTCTTCGACCCAAAGCAAAACGATAGGCTCGAGGGTAGTGACGTCAGAAGCTATTAAGAGGATCAGCAAGATATTATCTTATGTACTAATAGTTGCAATAATAATAGTAGCGGGGATTTAGGCTAGCAGCAGCAACAAGCTTGAAATACTAATAATAAGCAAAACTTGAAGACAATGACGTCAGTGATAATAGCCAGACAAAAAAGTCTAAGAACCACTGATCTATATAATAATTGTCTTCTCTATGGCAAATGATTAATACCTTTAGGATATTATCAATGTTTGTTCTACCTTTCATTTCAACAAGTTAATTAATTTAGCTTCGGACGGACAGAAATGTCCACGATCTTTCTGAATCCATTAGCAGTCCGTGCAGCATGCGTACACCGTGAATGCATCTTAACAAAGCTCGATGCAAGTGATGCATGCGGCGAAATCAGCTTGCGTAACGCACATGCACGATGCACGCCACGCCGGCTGACCCACATGCGCGATCTTTATTTAAACTGGTTTCCCCCTCGGCATCCTTTGCTGCCGTCTTTCGGCTACAATTTCATTAAAAGACTCGCTTGAATTCGAGTTTGCCTATCGTTCGGTTCGAGAATCGATTCTGAAAGCGTCGCGTCGACTAGGAAGGTTTGACTTCGATCGAGCAAACCTACGAAATTATGCATCGAGGACTGATTGAAAAGTTAGCGTATTTAATCAGCGAAGAAATATTTACAAATTTTCTTGACATTTTTTTATTACGATTCAGTAACAATACTTTTTGATACTTTGCGAATGAAGTGACTAACGATGAAAACTATAAATTATTGGCAAGATTTTTAAGTTTCAGAAATTTCCAATTTATCTACCCGCAATTTCTTCTAATATTTTTGTACCTTTTCATCAGAATAAAGTTAATAACTCTTATACTTTCGAATCTACTATAAAATCAGTTTCATCAATATTACTCGAAAATTTCTTCGCTCTAATTTAATGCTTCGCAAAGGTTGCAGCTCGCTACTATAAAATTTCCCGTTTACTCAATAGAGACGAACGTATGGAAATGAAGAGAGGTGGCACGGTTCTCGTCGTGGGACTTGCACGTGAAAAGACAGGACGAATTTTTCGATTTTTCCACCAAGAGATCGTGGAATTCCTGTCCATCGGGACACCGAAAGGCAACCGAAATGATGGGAATTCCGTTGGACCATCCAGCGACGGTTTCCACTCGTCTGGTTCCTTTCATTTTTCCTGCTCGTTTGCCACGTTTCACGGAATTCGTGTCCCGCCAATTTCCGCGAGTTGCTTTGTTCGAAGGAAACGAATCGAGGGAACGTTTGCTCGCCACAGTTCTCAGGAACGTTTGTTGCTAGAGATTTTCACGTTCGTTTGCCCGCAATTCGACAAGTTGCCTAGCTTTTCTCCCGGGTGCAACTGCTTCAACAGCGAGTTGTAAATTATCGAGAGAAATACATCAAGCGCCGGCATGTTAGCGACAAAATTCTGTTTCAATAGTTCAAACGCTAATACGTAGGCGTAAATAGATACAATGTTCGGAACGGTAGCATGGGGCGATTGTGCAAGCCAGTCGATTTTCAACTGAAACGACATGAAATTTCGGTTGCTTTGTTCCCGAACGAAGTGCAAAGGAATATTTATCGAGCGATCGTAATTCCCATCGATCCGTATTCACCGATTTTAATCGAGGTTCGATTATGCGCCCCTCGAATCCAATCCCGACTCGGGACACCGTCGCTCGAATTTATCGATACCCAGCCATTAACCTACAAAACCTCTCTGTACGATGTATCGCGACGCTCGAATTTACCGGGTAATTCTAAGAGCAATCGAACAAACTGTTTACTCCCATGGCCTTTTCAAAAATAGTCCCGCACCGCGCGCGACCAGGTAGTTGTATTCAGTTATTTGCAGCACTTGTGAAACTGGGTTACGCGTTAAATTGCGCGTTAATCGTGCATCGACGCTACGAAGAAAATATTTTTATCGACTCAACTAGTGTTATTGACAATGAAAAACCATCGATCGAGTGCCATTTTAAAAATTAACACAGAATAGAAACGTTTTCAGGAAAGAAAATGTTGTTTCTCTTAATTGTAAATATTTGAAATTGTAGTTTAATACCGAAATAATAGACTGAATTTGTTAAAACAAAAATTACAATTTCCTGAAAATGAAAGGGTTAATGGAAATCAGTATATATGTATAGCTTTCTTCCCGTTAATTATTTAATGCATTAAATACCCTGATACGAGTTTCTAGTTGCAGCAGTTATTACTACATCAAGTTCCCACGATTTCTTCAATGATAAAACGAAAGGGTGTTCCATTAAAGCAGGTACACAGTCGGATTACCAGCATCGTTGGATTATTGATAGGGGCGAAGCTTGTATCTGCCCTTTACGAGGCACGATTGGATGCATATTTGATGAAACACAGCTAGCCGAAGAGGAACGCATTATCGTCACCCTTTTCATGGCAAGTGAAAAGCCTATTCTTGATCAATATTTGAAGATCGATCCACTTAGCAACAAAATGGCTGTTTGTGAGAGACAACGTGGCAACAGAAATTATCACTAAATATCTCAACTCGTAAAATATCTCGAATAGTAAAAAAGGTAAGAAACCTTTGAAATTATTAAGTTGGAATAAAATAACTTTCGAGAAATTTAATAGAGAATTACTACGATTGGGTGAAGATTCGATTAAATCTCTTGTTAGTATTTCTAAAATTTCGCTAACCAGAAAATCACAAACTAGAGAAGACGATATGAAGAATTGATTACTTAATGAACGGCCTGCCTTAACATCGATTACTACTATATGACTATTGCATGAATTACATACCGAGTTGATGGCTGTCATGCTGCTAACTCGACCTGGATCTGTGTCCACTAGCCCGTTGTCACTCTACAACAAAAAAATGGAAAAAAATTGTCGGTTAATATAGGCAATAACAGAGCCATTTGATCAATTACGATTGAAACTACAGATAATAAAAACAACGCGTAAATTGCTTCGATGATTAAATATTCAACGGATCGTTAATCACCGAAATTTGCATTTCAATTAAATCGTCTGGTTAATCTAGAAATATTCAACAAACGAACACGTTTTAACAGCTATTTTTCTAATAAATTTATCGCAAATTTTCTAGAAATCGCTAATTCAGTACGTTCGCGATGAAAGCTAATAAGTCTTTTAGTAAAAATAAGAATAAACCGAGACGAAAGAAAAATAGAGGAGTAAGAGAATGCACGTTTTACATGACGAATTCTCAAGAAGGAAAATAAATACGAGCTAACGCAAGTGCACTTCGCACGGCGGGCACGCGATTTTGTTTTAATCGTGGTTGGTCGCAATTAAAATCTCGTCTCGTCGAAAGTGTTTTTTATTCGACCTTCCACACCGTCTCGTTAAACGAGAACATTAATTATGCAACATATGGTGACCAAACGCTATGAAAGATTTACCAGTCATTAAAAAGTATCAATAAATATTTTATTCTATCAAATTGTGGCGTATCAAGTAACCGGCTTCGAAACGTAAATAGTCTAATACGAATTAACGACATACGAGTATTGTTATAAGTTTCTTTTAACATAGCAGTAAAATACTAAATATAACAGAATCGTCTCTTGAACTATAATCGAATCCAAAGTATCCTGTTCCCCTTAAGAGATACAAGCCAATCTGCTACAATATTTCTTTCCCTACATCAGCGAGAGATCGATTTAGCAAGTTACACGAGGGCATCGCGTCACTTAAAGCACGCGAACGAAGTCGTTACTCGGCTAAGAGGGTTCGTAAAACAGACCCGGTCGACGTGGCGAGAATTAAAAAACGAGCCGATGTTCGTTTTAACCCTCGTTTTACGAGCCTATCGCGGCTACCCCTTGAAAAGCCGATTGTTTCTCTCGGAAATCACACCTTTCTCGTCTCGTTTCGTGATTTTCAAGAACCGTGTATCCTCTGTCGAAGGTACGATGTCTAAAAGGGTGGAAATAAGGGAGAGGGTAGGAAACGGCAGGTTCGCGCTAACTTTGACACGTAAATTTATTCAAGCATAACCGATCTGGCAGACGTTCAAGACGGACCCTCTACCTCCGGCTTCGAGTCCAGCGGTGTTTTACGATCAAAGTTCGGAACGACACTTGCACGGTGGCTCCTCTTTCGTCTCTCACAGTTCCCTGGCCACGCTGTCGCCTTTGTAAGTACTATTTCTTCGTCGTGTCCCCGAGACCTTTCCACCACGTCCCGCGGTACGCTTCGACGAGTCGACGATTCGACAAGCGAGCACGGAATTTCCATCTCGATAATCCTGACTGCTTCTCGCCTGACCCCGAACCTCCTCGAGCATCGTCGCGACGCCTCGCATCGCGTCGCGGTCGTTCCTTCGAATTGAACCACCTCGAAGAACCCTTCCCTCGGGATGCTGAATTTTTATCCTCTTCAACCCTATCCGGTTTCCCTCGGATTTCAAAGTAGTTGAATTATGTATCGTGTGATCATACGTAATCTCGAAGCCCACCGATAGTTAAACATAACCCCCTCGATTAGCTATTGTTATGTTGAAAACCAGACGAAAGAAGATTCTGGCTTAAAGAAGAAGACGCGCGACGCAATAAAATGTCCGAAAGATTTAAAGGTGTCGTCTCGGGGACTCTGCGTACGAAGTTATAGAATGCAGCCAGGAGTTAAACCGAAGCACGGGGCAGTCGTAAAACATGTTACAAGCCGCTGTAATTTATGGTAGTTACCGTACCAGATCGCTCACTTTTCGTCAGCAACACTGTCGCAAGGTGCAGCATGAAAACCTTCTCTTCGTCGTCTTTCGAGCGAATAGAGAATTTACGACTGCCAATTATTAACCTGGTGCCGACCTATTTACCCAAGGAATCATCGAATTTTTCCTAATGCTTCGAATCTTATGATTTTGAAAGAGATATCGCGATTCTTTTTGTGGGAGTAATAAGACTGTCATACTGATACAAATTCCTGAATTTCAGCAATCAACGTAAATTCTAATTTGACCTTGCAAAGTGCCGACTCTTTTAAATTTCATATCTTCCTCTAAAAATATAATAGAATATTAGAAGCCTAATGGATCTTAAAATTAGTGCTCGCTGTCGCGTTTTAGTGCCTCTAATAATAAAGTCCACAGTTCCTTGAGTCGTGAAGTGTTGTCAAGAGACTTGTATCTACCGGAAGAAAGCCATTTAACAACCGCAAACGACAGTCTTTTCAACTCATTACATATCTCATGACCCATTCTTTATTCGCGATAGTTACGTTACAACATTAAGAAGACTTTCGGGACGATTTAAATAATTCCATGGGAAGTTCGTCTGCCGTTTATCCCGGAAGCTCTTCAATTTATAGGAGAGGAACCTTGGGAACAGCTTAACGTCCCTCTTACCCTTCCGTGCTTTAACTCCGCCCTTCACCCTTCCATTTCGTTCCTTTTCTTGCCGTATCTCTTTTTCTGCTACATTTCGCTGTTCTCCGTCTACTCGTTCGTCTTTTCTTCCCTTTATCGCTTCTGACTGAATCAAACAAAGCGATCGTAAAAATGGAGATTCTTGCTCAACGACGGAGCACCGTATCGATAAGAAAAATCGAATCGTAATTCTTCTACTTGACGACACCAGAGTGTACACTATCGTCAACAATTATCGATCGTTACGAGACGATTGTGATCGTCCGACGTGAAGCATCTAAACTTGAGGGCAAAATGCGTGGGATGAAAATTTAAAAACGACTGCTACAGCGGAAAGATTGATGCAATATCAATTTTTATTGACAAAAATTGCTACAGCGTGACAGAAAACTAGCATTCCAAAAATATTCGCCCTATCACATGCATAAATGGCTTTCCAATCAAAAAGCTTTCTACTGGAAAAAATGAAAAATTTACAATATCGATGATTCGTATCTACGTTAAAAATTCAAAATGGTTAGGTTAACTTTCAAAACAGTAGGTAAAATACATAAAAAATTCAGCTGCGAAACCATCGAAACCATCCGGTGCAATTATCACAGCAGAATCTTTAAACAGCACCCTCGTGTATCGTGGTGGAGGAGAAACGGAAACGCAAGGAAAAAACGTACAAACGTCCATCAAACCTTTTTCCCGTTTGAAGTATGTATTCGTTACGTCGTCGTCTGGTTAACGAAAGAATCAACGAGAGTGCATTAAAAAGTTGTCAAGCGGAGGCGAAGGAAAAGGGCTGCGCCTTGGCCGTTCTACAAACGGAAGTGTGCCGGGTGATTGATGGCCGACCGATTGTCAGTAGAGGCGAACTCTCGCAGACTCGACGATAATTCACGCCTCGTCTACGTCTCTTTCCATTTCGTGGCTGCTATCTATCGTCTCGACACGCGCCGGGGGTGTTAAAAATAGGGAACGACGGAGATTAGATGGTCCCAGGGTCGTCAGACAACGACGCCATCGGGTAACAAGAGGCAACGAAAAAACGAGACGAAAACTCCTCCAGAATCTTGCTCCTCTTTCGCTCAACGCGTATAAGTAAATTTTTCGAAAAATTGCATCCGACCACTAAGGAAGGCAGAATATTATGGAAAAGCTGATGGAAAATTCTTGAAGAAATCAAACAGTTGAAGTTCGTGAATTCGGTGGAGCCGTTGTTAGGAAGGAGAATTCACGCGAACAGGAGCTTTTCCGGGAACGCACCGTGTATACCGGATGAGGAAAGAAAATTCAGGCCTGAATAATTCGCACCTGTCGCCGAGCGAAGAGAAATGGAACGCACGAATAGGAAGACGTGATTCACGGTCGAAAGTAAACACGTAATTCTTGAATTTGGTGGTCCGACGATTTGTTTGATATGGCAAATAAAGGTGGATTTTGTTTGTGAAAATAAAAATGTATAAATTCACTCCAAATTCATGACAATTTGCAACTGTTCCAAAGGTGAAACGATTACACCTGAATTGATTGATCAATGTAATATCCATCGAAGACGAAAAAACAATCATTTCAATCACCTGTTTTTCGATACAAAGAAAAACTACAAAGTGTTAAGGAGGAAGCTTTTAAATAATATAATTTCCACACAAGAGATTCTTTATTTTGAAAAATTTGAAACTATAGGTTACTTGTAACAAACTGTTGTAAACGAACAAGGCTGATGGAGTAATATAACTCCGAATGTATATGAACTCACTGATCGATAGGTTAAATAATCTGCGATAATAAACGAGGCCTCTGCTCGCTGTTCGATTCAATATTTGCGTCCAAGAGTTGAATCAGATGGTGTATATACGGTAGAGAGAAATGGTTCGGGGCAAGTTCGAACAGCGATTAAGATCATCAGAGAATTTGATCTCCTTTCATTAAGGAGGAACTTCCACCGACTGATTGATTCGTAAGGTTAGAGCAAACGCTTGCTCGTCCTTAAAAGGGATCGAGTAGACGTAGGTCATGGTTACGAGGAGAGTCTGCTTCGGCATGGAATGCTGAAGATAATTGGGAAGCGACCTTCTGTTTGATTCATAAAAGGGTAGATACGATACGAATGAGAAGATAATGATGTTAGGTGTACAAATTTGAATAATTTTTTATCTCTAGCAGCAAACGGAACAGCTTTAAAATATAATTTATACACTCGGATTATTTTTGGAACAAGTAAAATCAGAATTCTATCGATTGATCGATACTCTTTCTAAATAGCGTTCTTTTATTTTTAACCCGTCGATCTTCTGCCAAGGGTATTATGTAAAACTCCATTGATCCCTGCGAATGGAGAAGAATACCAGCCAAGTTGTTCTATTTATCCCGAGAAATGACACGAACGCGTGAACACGGTTAAACGATTTAGTTTGAAATAAGAGTGACGAGCGGCAGGCACAGACAGTAGAAATGTTATGGATTAGTCAGCCAGAGCTAC